TAAAATAGGGTATTGTCAAGGCATGGTGAAAAATAGCTGAATCTGAGATAACTAAGCGGTTTAAATCTTGTCTAAATAGACGTTTGAAGTCATCTCTAGTCATAGTGGAACTATGACTAGAGATTACTAAATTATTTTTTAAAAAGTAATTTGTGTGCTTTTTACGAAGTGCCTTCAACCTTTTGACGCGCATGAATTTTCAGATTTTTGGAATTTGTCTCATTTTCCCCTTGTGGGAATTAAATTGGTAGATTTTCAGTATTAATTAGTTGTTTACATTAGTTAGCTACTAAATAAAATATAATTCGTCGACAATGGTTCATGGGGTCAAGGGATATGATCATGACGCAGGGTGCCTTTAACCTTTTGTCGCGGAGTGTACATAGAATACTTCTCCTCCAGAGTTTAATATGCATCATCAACTTCAGGAATAGGATTTATACTAATAAATTTAAGCCTTTCGTTTTTAAAGTAGATTTTTCTAGTAAAGAATTCCATTAAAAAGTACATTTATCTGTTTAATATACTTATTCAATATCCTTAAGGCAGGCATTTGCTAAAAAAAACAACAAAGCACCGAAATTGATAATATTCCAGATTGGTCACTAAAACCAGCACGCCTCATCATCAGGATGACGAGCCATGCTTGTTTTGATCTGATACATCAGGTCAAAGTCATGCGAATTTTACGGCTGTGTCAATTTTTCAGGCTGGGGCCGCAAATAAACCATGCGATCTCTTTTCGGACAATTTTGACCCCTACCTCCCATAATGTGACTCATATGCTTCATGTTATAATTAAAATTGAAAGGATAGAATGCCTTATATAACCTCCATCCCCCTCAAATCGATCACTTACTTTGGGAGCGTCCATAAATCACGTGATCAAAAAGGGGGGGAGGGGTCTGAAATTTGTCACGATTTATCACCAAGGGGGGGGGGGGTAATTGTTGCAGGCACGTGACATACCACGAAGAGTTTTTCTTTTAATTTCGGATGTAAATAAACTTGATAATATGTAATTTACTTAATCGTTAACCTCTTTTATCTTAAATTCGCAACACGCGTATTTTTAAATTTTTACTTGACAATCTTGGGTCTGGTTTGCATATATATACCACTCTTCCAAATTTCAGTGTACATTCATAGAACTCTCATTATTCTTCAGATAATAAGTGTATGCAATTGTCCTTAAGATGTCATGAATGTTAAATTACTTAATATATTTGCTCATTAGTATTAAATAATTCTTTCAATAATTTTAAAATTTAATTTAACTGCGGATTTGAAAAGGCCCAGGAATATTATTATTGGATTAATTTGTGCCATGTGTTGTCCTGTCGGAAATACGTCAGTTTGGCGAAAAAAATCCGCCAGAAAAAATCACACTTGACGAAAAATAGGTTTATGCGTTTTACAGTACTTTAAGTTTAATGTGAATCCTGTCACGTGACCGCGGGGGGGGGGAGGGTAATGCATTTATTACCTTTGGTCACCAAGGGGGGGGGAGGAGTCAAAATTGTCCAAAAATCGATCACGTGATTTATGGACGCTCCCTTTCTGTACAGACCCTTGAAGAATGTTAAATAAGATTTATTGGCGGAGCATAAAATCCTTTCGGCGTCTTTCATGTGCGATGATGGCGCAGCGGCGTTGGAACGGTCGTATCTCTGCTCTCTTCATAAAAATGGGTACTAATTAAAATTAGTAATTAGTAATTAGTAATTAGTAATTAGTAATTAATTAGTAATTAGTTAACATTCAATCAATTTTACCTGCCTCCTTTCCAATTTAATTTCTATGGATATATTATATGAGAGGAATCACATGTTTAGAGCATGACCAGGTCTCGAGGTGCCACATTTTATAGGCAATAGTACCGCTGGTTTATTACAGAGAATCGTAATTGATTTATAAACCTAAATAGTATGACTACGCCGTATTTTCACCTCTGGTCATCGTCCAATGGTAAAAGTAGGTACATATTTTACGCAGTCTTTAAGAGCCTTATTCCTTATTATACATATGAGTATTAAATTTTTTAAATAAAAACTTGGCTTCGATTTCGAAACGGGAGAAAAGAAAATCCCAATCAGGTATTTATTTAATAAATAAACACCTTTTATTTGAATTTATTTGAATATAAATAATATCTGTATTCAATTTGTCGAAGCAGACAACTGAGAGCACGTTTTTAGAGAATGATATGGTCTCCTGGAGCCGCATTTTATAGGCGATACATGTAATTTTATGGTTAGTTTATTACTTATTACTGAGAATATGTATGTACGAAATTGGTTTACGTAAGTAGGTTAGACTGCGCCATATTCTAACCTTTTGTACACTATGTATTTTATCTAAGGGTAAATAATAATGTAAGCAATAGTAAACATACATAGATACATATGCACCTTGCTCATTTTGTTCGTTGCATACGTAAGTATCTTAAATTTTCTAAAGTATGAACTCGGCAATGTCAGACTAATTCGTAAAATGTGACGAATTCCTTCCCACAAAAGTAGCATTTATGTCTCCCTGCATTGTGACGTCTTCTGTGAGAGACTAAATTGGCTTTCGAGTAGCTCTTGTACTCGCATTTGTCGCAGGAATGGATCAGCTCCTTATTGGTGACATGCTTCGATTTCACGTGACCCTTCAATTTTGTTGAGTTAGAGAATATCCTGCCGCAAAAAGGGCACGGATTCCTACCGTGAAAGCCTTTCACGGTAGGCATGAAAATCGGTACCCTTTCACTGAAAGGGTACCGATTTTCATGCACAACTCGAATGTGGCACATTTATACATTCTTACTTTACGTACCGAAATCAGTGCAAATATTTCAACACAAATACCTAAGCCTACATACATATTTAAAAATGCATGCATTAAAACATTAAATTTTTAGTTTCAAGTAAATACATAAATTAAAATTCTGCTCAAGTTTCTTCGCATAAAATTAGTACTTTATCATGGAGATCTTCGTATAAATGTTAACTAGTACGAATTCTTACATATTTATTAGAAATATGTACATATCTATTTAAATATGCTAATTGTAAATAGTAGATAATATCATGAATTATTACTTTGTAATTATTTTCCATTTGATATTATTGTAAACACTGTATTTCCAAGAACTAATTTCTTATGAAACATCATATTGGGAAAAGACTTACTACATTTATTTTTAATCCGGGTTACTTCACTCGTTGTTCGGTCATACAAAATTTTCCACCAGGCTAAACGGAGAGAAGGGTTTCCAGGAATTGTATTTCCAGCGTTGAATTTCAACCCTTCTCGACTGGTCAATCCTTTCATAATGTGAATGTTTGTCTTCTTCAGTTCTAAATTCCACTTTGCATTCTGCACGTTAAACATCTCACTGTCTTTAACGCCATACTAACTTATCGAGTAAATTTGCGTAATTCGAGCTGCATTTGAAAAAGCTTCACTAATCTTAAATATTTGCAACCTATTTACATAAATACCACGTTCCATATTAAATTGTCCGAAATTACGAGTTAGTGAATACATACATAAGTTACATGAATACCCTTTCCGAAATGGAATCCATTTTCACTTTTCACCAAGTAAACTGTGCTGGACGTCTGGGGTGAGTAATTTTAATTCTGTTCATTGAAAATATCGAAAATTTGTCCTCTTTAATAATTTTAGACAAGTTCATTAAGTTTCTTCGTTAAATACTAATTATTGTATTTAAAATTTTAAATTCAGATCCACCTTTCTCGCTGAAGTTTGTTGGATGGAGGAGGGAGTTTTCCAGCAATCTGCTCGACCGACGCCATACCTTCGCGTCATGCTGACACAGGACGACGGGGAGACAATTATGGTGGCCATTGCGACCGGGAATTTTTACCACGTGGCAAAAAATCTTTACCAGGTATTTTATTTAGCAAATCTAAATGAACAATCTTCTCTTCCACAATTTTGAATAACAATTAAGTTCATGACATTTCTGGGTCGGGCTTGTTAGGTCGGGAACGTTTACTGCTTTCCGGGAGGAATGTTTGACATCCGCCCTCGTACAGCTCAAGACTCCTGCTCAAGTTATCCATTCGATTTGTGGTTCCTGAACGATTCTGGTAAGAAAAACTGCCTTAAAAATTGATCATTTAATATCCGATGAGTTTTTGCTTTATCTTTTAACAACTTGATATTTATTAATATAGCCACATCTGATCAAACGAGCCCCAAATCCTGTCGGACTTCAGAATTGGAAGACTCCATGCAAAACATGAGCATTTTCTAAATTTATATATTTAATTCATATAATCTTGTTATGTATAGATGTATGTACGTACTGATGACTGACGCATAATTTTTATTTATCTACATATATAAATTTCGTGTTTTATAATGTTTCATATTATTCACTGGTTAGTAATTATATCGACTATTGTGATATTTATAACATGTATTAATTAAAATTGTATTACGAATATACACGTATAATATCCATTTACACACCTATTGACAGTGTCAATTTGACACTGATATCGTGTTTTATAATGTCATATATATTTACCAAGTAGTAATTATTGTGATCCATTTCTGTCCATTCCATTGTTATCCATTTCTTTATTTCTTTCTTTCTATAAAAAATCGCCCTTTGCTACGACATTTAGCATATTCCCGGACTGCGATGGCAGCACCTTCCGACAAACTGTTAAGAGTAAGTGAATTCACAAGAAAATTCAATTACTAGTGAATATCTTATATATGTCATATGTAGGCGTTATTCAGTTTGCATATTTATAACGCATTTGAAAGGTAAACTCAATAGATTTTTGTGTTAATTTTGTCGTGTGATTTTTTTAACGCATGTACAAAATGTAACCAAATTTCAAACTACTTATTTACATTAAATTAAGAATTCGTATGTTTGCAAATTTTTGAAAAATTCTTTGCCAACTAAACTTAAGCTATGAGACACGCAGATCTTCCAAGCCAAAAAATTTTATGAACGTTCTGATTTTACCTTTTTCTAAAGTTGTTACCATTACGATGCGAACTAGTGATGAATACATACATCGAGTACCTAGTTCGACTGTCTTATATATGTTGGTGAACTTATCGTTATCGAAGTCCTGCCTCTGTTAAATTTCTTGCCAACGATCTCAAACAATTTCTTTTTCAGGTTACTAGTAGCCTGAATAAATTGTAGTGATTTTAGAAATTCTCCAAAGTTTTCCAATTCATGTTGGATTTCGGCTTCGGTCCAAACTCCCAAGTCTTCTTCCGGAGTTGAAGCAATCATCGCTGTGTCGTAAAACCGCATATTTTTAATGTCAAAGTTGCTCGGTCCATAAGGGTCTGTTTGTTCCTCCAGTAGCGCAAATACAGCCGTGTTCAATCGTGAGAGATATGCTTTGCAATAAATCTCCTTCAGCTTGTTGCTAAAAATTGTGGAAAAAAATATAAAAAACAGACGTAGTTATATTATATTCCCTGCTATAGAGTCAAGAAATATGACACCAAGGAAACATTTTTGTTTTCCCAAAATTCATTAAATTGCAAGGCAACAAACACCAATGTTTAAGAAGAACGGTAGAATTTTTTTTAGAGAATTGTCACTGTTAAAAGTACTGTTAAAATTGTAATTTGTTGCCTGTCATTTTGATTAATTTTTGAGGAAAATTCGTTCCCTTGTTGCCATATTTCTTGGCTAAATTATCCACGGAGCTTTTTCTATTGGTTGAAAAATTCATCGTAATTATCGCGATACCTGTAAGTAATCCTTGATTCCAAAAAATTGACTGCTTTGTGTTTTTCATCAGCAAAGAAAGTCTTTGTCTTGAATTCAATTCCATTTCCGGCACAGTTCGGACCACAGTCTATCTCAGAATGGTAGATAAACCTGTGAATACATTTAATTTTGCAATTAGTTATATTTAAATGCACAAGTACAAATTGAAGCATGAAACATAAAGACTACCCTATATTTCTGCCCACTGCATAACATATTTAAGTAACATACGTGGAACTTCCCTTTTCATAGGAATATACTAACTTGAAGGTACATACATACATAAATATTAGATAATAATGAGCTCGCATTGTTCAGTAAATTCAGGAAAAAATCTTGAGATCTCAAAAGTTGGAAAACTTTTGTTTGACGTAAGAAATTATTTAAGAAATAAGACATACGTAATTGTCTACTTTGGCATTTGATAAATCGTAAAATATACATATTTCCCAAAGAAAAATGTGTGAAGTGTGCCAATTCGCATTTTATCTTAGTGGCGAATAATTATATATAATTCACAATCAATTACGTAGATTACAGTACATTACCGAATATCTTGGGTAAGATCAATGGAAAAGATCCCATAAATTTTTACGGCCGTCTCATTCAGGGCTATGCATTGAATATAATGTAAAACGTATGCGTCATTTTGTGACAAGGGACAAAAATACACGGGTCACCGGGGCCCCTCTTCCAGACTAGGATGGCTCTGCGTTCTCTTTAGTGGTGAATGTGCGTGACGAATCTACCGTCAGAGAGATTGATACATTAGTTGCGTCGTACAGAGCGAAGGGGGCACTTATTTTTTCTGTATGTATTTCCGGTCGTGCGCCAGGTTGCACTCATGTCGGTTACAGGTTATCGTGTGACATTACATGTTCATGTCATCTGGGTCGCAACTAACACCCAACCCATACCCAACGTAGTTGGTCGATAAGACCATGACCATCGTGTTGCCATGCATAGACGCGCATCACCGCCTATGGGGTCCACCATGTCGGTATGATTGCATATTTTTTAATTGATATGTATCGATCCTCGCCTAACCTGATTTATTTTGGAGAACTTTGTCCTCTGCAATTCGTCCGATTGCGGAACGCTGTTGATATCGTCGATCGTCAGAATTGTAGACGGTTTTGGCAAACATGTCGTAAATTTGGGATGGATGGAGGGAAGATAGAACCCTCCTCAGGCCAAGGTTGTACTCAGATTTCTGCATGATGCAGTTCAAGGGTCGCTGGGATCCGAGAAATAAGCTGGAAATATGTAAAATAGTTAATTAGTGGTTTTGAATGCAAAACATGTGTGTGAATTTCCATTGTGTAATGTGTTTAAGTACGGAATGATCAAACAATATGGTAACAAGGGGCTAATTTTTGCAATGAAATAAAATTCTAAACATTTCCAAAATTAACAATTATAATTTTTCACAAACCCTAAACAATTCTCTTAACAAGTTGAGGATTTGTTTTTGATTAGTGGAATTAATAAGTCGTTGTATACTTTATTTTAATGAAGCTGGTGAAAAAAAAAATTAGAACTTTGTTACAATGTCTTTGAGGTCCTTACATTTTGCCATTATTCAGCCACTCCTGAGTATCTGGGTGCATAACTGCTTCCTCCAAAGCTTTGCAAGGTTCACGATGTTCCTCGAAATTGGCACGATTTCGTACTTCGTCTCTGATCATTGCGTCGATTTCTTCCCCTGTAATTTGGATTGGTTCTATAAGCGGAGTCCAAGTTGGTATTGGAGGTACGTCAAATTGTGCGTAGAGTTCGGCCTGTTGCTCCCTGCTGGTCAGAAATTGGGTGAGATTATCCCGAAATTGAGACAAGTTGCGAGGTCCTTCATCCCGGAATGGAATAAGTTTCTCTTTAATTCCCCACTTGATTAAATTGAAGGATGGATTTTCTCGTTCTTCTGGAGGAATTAGTCCACTTCTCCACTCGGTTTGTTTTGTAGTAGGGTGGGTAATTTTTACAGATAGGGCTACACATTTCAGCATTTTAGCAAGAAATTATTTGTAAATATTGTATTTTTTAATGCTTTGAAGAATTCAGATGTATAAATCTGTGAGTTAAGAAAGTTGAGTGGCAAGGGGTGGTGATATGGTGATATGTACATATGTATGTTCTACATAGAGTAATGCATAGATGTACAGTATAGTGAAAGAAACTTTATTACAGAGCATCACACTTTACATACATACATACGTAAAGGCCGTCGGGTAAAAAATGTGCAATTCGGAATGAGCCGACTATTTTGCAATGCAAGATTTGTATTATACACGCAAACAAATCTTGCATGTGTACATACATACATACACCGTGTATGCACATATGCATATGTATGGTATGTATTGAGTACCTAGAAGATGCATATTCAAAGCAACTACTTATGTACATACTTCGGATATTAATAAATTTAACGAGATTTAGGCATGTATAGTACTTACTAGCAAATAAGTATGTATGTGTCAAATAACTAACATTCATGATTTTCAATTCAAAAAGTTTTTCAAATATCGAAAATCTATAGGTTTTCGATATTTGACAAAATTTTTACTGTAGGAAAAATTCGCAAATTATCCACGTGCCATGACCTATCCATGACCTAAATGTTTTAACTTTTCTAAAGTATGCACCTTAAAATGTTGGACCAATTCGGGAAAACTGATGAATTTCTTCCCACAGAAGTAACATCCATGATTCGCAACCTTGTGACGCCTTCTGTGATTGGCCAAATTGTGTTTCGAGTAGCTCCTGTACTCGCATTTGTCGCAGGAATGGATCGGCCCTTTGTTCGTGGCATGTCTCGCCTCCACGTGAACCCTCAAATTTGATGAGTGAGAGAATCTCTTGTCACAAAATGCGCAAGGATAATTCCTTTGATTTTCATGCACAACTCGGATGTGCCGTTGTAAACCAATCCTACTTAAGAAGGTTTTAGGACAGATGTGACACTTTGGCACATCTAGGGTAGATTTTTCCAAATGCGTGATCTGGAATATGTATAATATTGGTCATTTATAAATTTTCACCTAGTCTTTCCGACAACATGCTTATTTACCTCGTGCCGTTTCATACTTCCCACGTGGGCAAAACTCCTCCCACAAGTGACACAATTGTACGGCTTCTCCGTCGTATGGGTGAGAACGTGATTCTGAACTTGAGGCCTCGTTTTGAACTCCTTTTCGCAAAGTGTGCACGGAAATCGGACCGGATTTTCGGCATGTTCAGTTTTCACGTGATGCAAAAGACCACGCTTGTTTTGGTAGGTTTTGCCACATCCAAGAGACGTACATGGAAAACGAGGTCGTTCCCTCGTGCTGTGGATGGCGTCAACATGTCGCTGTAAGTTATACGAATTGGAAAACACCCGTTGACACGTGTCACAACTTGGTAGCTTCTTAAAGCGGGAAGATAAGGCGAGTGTGTTTTTAGCAATTATTTCGCAAACCTAGATAAAACCGAGGTAGAAAAATGACAAAGCAAAAGTGGAAAAATGTAGACTATAAAATTAGTGTTTTTTCTGAAAATTTATACCCTCACCTCACATTTGACCTTGGCATCGGGATCGTTCCTGACCATGTTTGTGTCCAACGGGTTATCAGTTTTTAACGTTTTCGAGCACCTTGGACATCCCCATTTCTGTCCTGGGTTCACATCCATTTTAATTTGGTGCATAGATACTTATTGAGTTTGTCTGGTCCAATAAATTTAATTTGGTGTCTGCAAGAAAAAGTTTTCTTACAAATATCGAGACAATATTAAACAAGTCTTTGCCAAAAATGCACACGTTTAATATTCGGCGAACATGAAACACGTTTCCAGCAATTTTTAGTGAGAATGAAATTGGCTATAACAATTAATAGGTTTTGCCCTATTTAGTTAAGTTGCTTACCGTGTGTTGGGAAATATTTTATGTATTTACAGGATTTAACTGTGCAGTGTTGTGTTAGAGTAATATGGATGGAAAGCTAATGTTGGTTCGTTTGGTGTAAAAAAGGATGCATTTATTTTGTAACCATAGCAACCAGTGGATACCTGACAAATTCCTGGATAAAAATAATCAACCATCCCTTCGGGACCGTACATAAGTCATGCGATTAATTTTGAGGAAAGTTTCGCCCACGAGAAAATTCACTTGCAACCTTGCATTATTTATTTTAAATTTCGATACAATTTTCAATATTTCAAAACACTGTTTTTAACCGACAACGGAAATCGCATTCGCTTTAATTCCAGTCCAGTACGTATTAAATCGTTGCACGATGGTGGCCCTAAAGTTAAAATAATTCAATTCCATACTTTAATTGGTATCATTTTATGCTAATGATTCGTTACTAAACACATTATGCACAGATTACTTACAGAATTTGCACTCTGCCATTGTAATTCGCAGGCGCCGTCCAGGACACTTGAACTTTAGTTTTGTCTTCAGAATTTACGTGATGGGCAGCATTCTGTAATAACATTTACATAAATAATTTTATACCATATTTGTTTTTGTATTTATTAAAATCCTACCGACTTTATTCCACCGCAACTGTGCGTTTTTACATAAGTGTTTTCATTAAATGTTCCAATCGGGGCACCTTTTTCATCCCTGGCTTGGATGTAGAAGCCTTTGAATTTTTCTCCATTTCTTGCATAAATTGTGACTAAGGAGACAAGGATTTCTGCAGATTTCTTAGAAATTAAAAATCATCCACATTTCATGTCTTTTGAAATGTATGAAATATAAGTTATCATGCACTGCTATCTGTAAAAAACACCACATGCACGAAACTACTGTAAGAAATTGTGTTGTTTTTCGGACAGAATTTCTTACGCGATGCAAAAAGGCAAGAAATAAGAACCATCTATTTAGTATATAACAAATTATTATATTTGCCTATTTGTAAAAATTGGCGAAAATTTCTGGCAGTTTTTTTTCGCAAGACACTAAATTAAACGCTACAAAGGTCACCTATCTGTTAAGAGATTTTTAAGAGTTATTCATTACCATCCACCGTTTCTCCGCCACGAACCTGGGTAATATCCGTGGTCACATTACCAGGTGAGGAGGAAGACGCTTGTGGCTTGTACTGGTCATGCCCAGGTTTCATACTTTTGCACACGGATCGAGTTGCAGGAACTGAGACGGAAAATGAATCCGCAAAATGAACTCTGTTTCCAGAATTCATTACTATTATTAGCAGACATACTACTCTATTCCTCATTTGGGCAATTTCTTCGTTAAAAAATGTACACTTTAAATTCAGCAGAAATATTCCAAACTTTAATGGCGCAATTTAATTTGTTAATTTTAATTTTCTAGCTAAAATTCAAGACACGACGAATTGCGTTTTATTAAGATAGCGAATAATAATTACTCGTCACTACCAGAGTTTTGTCTGGTAGCATCAACAAAAATAAGCACCTGTGCGAATCAAGGTCCTAAGTTGTTTTATAAGTATGCCTACGTCTTACACGTATTTATATACTGCATTATTTGACGTCTATTATATTTCACATGTACATAAAGATATGCATAAATATTTACATTAACCATGTCAGTAGATATCATGCGAAATATTTTTTGCTACATAAATGGTTTTCCCATGCTCATCATCATCCTCGAACTTAAGGTGTTGCTTTAAAGTTCTCTTATCAACAAGGTCAGTTCATGGTTAGTATGTATGTCTCACATGGTTGAAATATATTATTAATGTATGAAGTTTTAATAATAGTATGATAGAATTAATAAATAAGTTGCATTTAATAAATTATGCTTTGCATTGTTCTTCACTGTTAGAAATCTGGTTTAGTCGCGCAGGTATTGATTTCTCGTTATTAAAGTTGCTGCCGCTTGGTAAAATTATATCGGTCCGTTAGAATTTGGTACCGATATGGTAAAACTTTATTACCGAGTTATGTATTACTATATGCGGCATAAAGTATCAATACCGTTTTGATTGAGTCATGCATATTTATATGAAGGCCGCTTGGTATTATTTTAATACTGGATTTCTAAGAGTGTACTTCTTGTTTAATGTCACGATCCTAATGCATGTACGTGTGTGTACATGCATGCAAGGTTTTTTGGCTAGGTCAGGTTTATTTTGTTATAAAAGTTTAAATCTATACTTGACGTATGTATAATCCGGCAACTTGTCAAATATGATTAACTACCTCGCACACTTGGTGACTGGTACTGTCCAGTCTGACACTTTTACATAATTTCAAGATGCGATATAAAATCCTACACATGGTTTAGGGTAGTTCAGGTAGTTCGGTATGATGTAAGACTTTCTACGGTACACTGTAAAAAATTAGGTAGAGTTACATACATACATACATGCACAATCCGTACTGTGATATTGATTTGGTAATAAATTCTTACCGGATTTGTGGTAGTTTATTTCTCAGTGGTAAATTTTTCACTACGAAACATGCTTGTTATTACCGTGCCAATGGTTTGAATTATAGCGCCATATTCTCCTGATCCTACTAATTTTGCACCCCATTTTCAAAATTTTCAACCTTTGGGCAGAAATTTTGTTATGAATCCAATCGCACCGCGTGCCGTTTTTGGTGGCATTTTTTTTCATGACAACGGCTCAATTAACATTACTTTGCATGTAGAATATTCAATTTACTTCACTTGAGAGTTCATTTACTATTCAAAAAGTGTGCATTATTTGCTGTAATGATGGAATGTATGTGCTACAGCTTTATAATTTATTGTTTTGTTTAATTTAAAACAACTGAGACGATCGACGATGAAGACGTATCTCATCGTCCGGGGGATCTCCAAGTTCTCATACTAAAACAAGTTATGCACTAACTAAAAAGTTGCATGGCTGCACAAACATGTAGATGTGCATGCTCTTATTATTCCAGATTTTTATCACGTGCAGCCAGTTAATTGTTTGCATAATTGTTAAACAGTACGTAATTAATTATGCAAGTAATTAGAAATAAGGAAAATGAGACAATGTAGATACCTATATGTAAGCCAGCTTTCACTGGTCAATCGTTCAGTTCCATACGGAAAATTGCATTTATTTAACGTATTTATTATCAAAACTGAATGTTACTTACAAGTTTACCTACAAGTTTATTCGAACCTTCTCAATTTGCAAGTCAAATCTTTATACAAGAATTTGCTTGATTGATACGTATAATTGAATTATTTTGGTGCAATAATGATTTTAAAATTTGCATTAATAGTATCATTTACAATATTGGAAGTTACTAGTGCAACATTCGAAGAGGATGTTACTTTGACTCTTGAACAGAAAATATTGCTGGACGAGGTACATAGGTTTTTGAGTTGCAAATTCATAACGGCAAAAAATATTTTTTAAAGTATTCATAAATACTATACTAATTTGGTGTCGATTTATTGCACAGTTTAAAGAAAGGGTAGTTCCCGATATTACAAAAAGCTACATGAAAGCGGAGCTTTATCTCGTAAAATGGCTCAGATGTATGTACATACATAAATAAATTTCAAAATAAGATACCGAATGTTTACATGTACACATCATTTTATTTTATTTTAGCAAGTCGTTTTGACCTAGATTTAGCTGTAGAGAGGTTCCGTCAGGTGAATGATTTAACAATTTCGTTAATTTTTGTACTATGCATTCTATAATTAATATCTAAACATAATTTTTCCTATACAGAATTTGCAATGGCGGAAAGACCAGAGCATGGATACGATTCACTCCGAGGACTGGTCAGACATGTGGAATGACGATATTCGATATTACGTCGACGGAAGAGATAAATTAGGACGCCCATGTAAGAAAATGTATAAAATTTGTAAGGGGGTGACTCACGTCAATGCCAAATTTCGTATCACAACTCATTCATGCAAAATGCAGAGCTTGTAAGCTGTTTAAACAACTTTAGCAACATAACCATTGCTTGGTAAACAAAAAATCTCATGTCTAGTGCAAGCATTTTGCGGAAAAAATAATGTATGTATGTATTCATTAAGAGTTAGAATGCTCGTATCGCAGCATAATTTTATAATAGTTGGACTAAATACTAGTCTTTGAGATACATATCTCTCCAAGTTTTCAACCCAACTTTTTTTGCGAACTTGCGACCATATATTTTGCAGAGTTGGGTGATTAAACGTTTTTTTGCTCCGGATTAGGGATTAGTTTCTCCGGATTATTGGATTAGATTAGGATTAGAATTTGTCGCCTTTTCTGGGATTAGATTTTCAGGGATTAGTTTATTTGGGAAGAAAAGTCTGGATTAAGGATTAGAATTAAATAAACCGGATTACCTCTGTGATTAAGGATTATTATTAAGGATTAATAATGATATTATTAATATCGTTATTGATCCATACTCATCAAGAACATGATGCATACTCATCCCGGAGTGCAAGCTTCGCCAGTTATGTTGATAAGTATGTTCAGCTTGGAGCTAACGTTCTCGTGAATATATACGCCACGCTATTCCTATGTCTGGGTTATCCATGTTCTATGAATTTTTAACCAGATGCCTTAATCGAAATGAGACATATCGACATACGTAAACTCGTCTTGACTGGAAAGGGCGAAAGATATCTGCGTTACTTGGATAAAGGCGTTGATGACGCCTGCCAGCTCGTGCACGAAGTGAGCCAACGTTACGGAAATGTCTCACGTGGAAACCTTCTCATTAATTTGGATGGACTCAATGTCGCACAACATGGCTGCGTCCGATGTATGTAGAGTGACAAATATATTTAAAATTACGCAAATTTAATCATACTCAAAATTACATATTTTCGCGTATGAAATTCAGGCATTCCATACTTGATAAGGGCACTTATCTCATTCCTTGACCATCAACCGGAATGCTTGGATAAAACAATTCTAGTAAATGGTAAGTTCTTTGCTTAAAGACTTTTCTAAAGTTCTGGTGGAAACGGCATCTCTTGCGCACAACGTGTCGTTGATATTCGCAATGTTGTAAGCCAACTACATACTTGTGCAAATTATGCTGCAGATGTGCAAAAAATTATAAATTTCCGAAATATTTTTTTTGGGATATGAATTTTAAACTTATGTACGCAGTATTCCTCAATTATGTATGTGTATTGTATTAATTAAATTTTTCTGCTATTGCATATTCAGCACCGGCGTTTATCGAGCAATACTTTAACCTCGCAGTGTCCCTCGTGCCTAAGGAAATCATGGGTAATCTTCTCATCTTGGGGACAAACTGGAATGTGTGGAAGCCCGAGCTGTTGAAATACTTTGACCCCGACCAGTTGCCAAGATCACTCGGGGGACGAAAATATTTGAGGGAATGGAGGACTAGGAAATATTTACAGTAGATTTTTTTTAAGAGTGTGATTTTTCGTATACAAGTGCATATATGCCTGCAAAGCATGAAGCGAACGGGAAAACACTTGTTACATACACACATGTCAATGTGCCCGAAATTTGACCTAGGTGTTTATATTTTTTTGCTAGTTGTGAATGTTACAAAGTAGACATAATATGTATGTGTCTTATTCTACGAATTTATGATTATCAATAATTTGTAATCATTCACGAGTGTGCAAGGGCTGTTGGCTATTAATATGATGCAATAAATCAATTATTATTATTATTATGTGTCTTATTCACTAAAGTATTTAATTTATAAATTGGTTTTATTAGTGTATACGACGTAGAATGCAAACAATTTAAAGCCTGTGCCCATATAGATATGCATGTATGCATCCAATTGGAACAATATACTATTCAATACCCAGATACGTATATACAGAATATTAGGTTTATTATTATGCGCTTTATTATTTTGTTTAATTAAAACAACTGCGTATACATACACGCATATGTACAAATGTATGTATATTGTATGTACATGGACAAGAAGGCGATCACCACGTTCTCACACTAAAGCAAGTTATTACCTACAAAATTGCACAACTGAACCTATGAATGTTCTTATTATTCCATATTTTGATCTTTGTGCAGCTTGCAAACATTATCCTTCATCGTCTAATTTTTAATCTTGGAAGTTGGAATAGATATGTTAGCATCATTGCGAAATTAGAGCTAATATTCAAAAATGAAATGTTAAAAATTTGCATGCATATGAATTAAATCTGATTGGTAGTATGTAGTACTAACAAGGGACACTCACGACCTGTCATTTGAGTCCAGGGTACCCACTATGTTTTTTAGAATCTACTAGGACCCCAGATGAAGGATTCATTCATATTTCCGTGTAAAACTCATATTTGGCGTCGTGCCGTAGCGCCAAATTCGCCAAATTTGAATGTTTTTATTTTTGAAACCGCCATAACTTTTGAAATCCTGGACGGATTTTCAAAATATTTGGCAAAAATCATGACAAGGAGTTCGACTTTCTTATTCCATGAAATTTTTTCCAAAATTATTGCTTTCAAATTTTCGCAAAATTTCGTAATTTTCTTAAAAATGGGGCTTCGTCGAAAAAATGCTAAAAAAAATTCAAAAATTAGAAATTTTTTATTTTTATTTTTTTCTCAAAAATTTAGACTTTTGTGATCATTTTAAGCATAAAATTGTGAAAATCTGACATAAACTGCAAAAGTTATGGGGGTTTGAAATTGGTCGAAAATGCAAATTTTTAAGTTTGGCGCCACGCCATGGCGTCAAATATGAGTTTTACACGGAAATATGAATGAATCCTTCATCTGGGGTCCTAGTAGATTCTAAAAAATATAGTGGGTACCCTGGACTCAAACGACAGGTCGTGAGTGTCCCTTGTAAGCTTTTCCGTGTTATCAACTTTTTACAAATATTGTCAGTCAACATGTCGTTTTATAGCAGCCAGAAATTTTATTAATAAAACTGGAGAATGTAGAATAATTAAAAATTAACATCAAATTAACTCTCTTTTACATGTGTGACGACTTTCACAACCCCGCATTTTGATAATTGAAGTCCAATCATTTTCAAACTTTGGCGACTTCGATCATCGTATTTGTTTTTCGAATGCAATGAATTCAAATTTTGTATTTTGCCAGGTTCTATATTTATCTTCGAGTCTCACACCTCGACACCTACTACATAAGTGTGTCTTAACTTATTAATTTAATGAAAAAATACACTCTTAAAAATAATCTTACGCTTTTCAGAACTAAATTCACTCCGAATTCTATATTAATTAAACTACACTAAATCCAGAGTAACGTTTACGCATGAATCTATATATTATACCGTATACAGATGGCTATACAGATTCATGCGTTAAGTGATGAAGAATAAGGACAAGTCTGGATTTTGTATAGTTTCATAGTTTAATCTCGAGCATAAATATGTAGAGTGCATTTACTTTTCGAAATGGTAACATTATATTTTAGAGTATGCATATTTACTCGAGCATCATTCTCATGATTTCGCGTAATTCATAAATATGTACGTGCATACGTTCGTGTTCGCCCTGCTCTCACGCTTAAATAAGTTACTATCTACATATGTACAAAATTGCATGGCTGCACAAACCAAGATGTGCCTATGTTCTTGTTAAATATTCCACATTTTAATCAATGTGCTGCTAGTGAATATTTTACTTTATTGTGTAACAGTATTTAAGAATAAGGAAAAAAGCATGCCAATAAGCCAGCGTCTGCTGTTCAATCTTGAATAAATGACGTCCAGAAAATTATGTCCACATTTTTTATTATCAAAACTGGATTTTGCTTTACCAGTTATTCGCATTTCCTTAATTTGCAAGCCATACTTTTAGACAAACATATCTGTGTCGATACGTACACATAACTAACTGGACTGTTTTGGTGCAACAATGATTTCAAAATTTGCAATAATAGTGTCCTTTATAATATTGAAAGTGAATAGTGCAACATTTGAGGAGGATGTAACTTTAACCATTAAACAGAAAATGTCGTTAGATGAGGTACGTTGAAAATTCATAACGTCAAAAATATTTCATAAACAAAATTATTCATAAAGACTAGACTAATTTTGCCCCAATTTATTGCACAGTTTAAGGAAAGGGTGATTCCCAGTATTACGAAGAACTATATGAAAACAGAGCTTTATCTCGTGAAATGGCTCAGATGTATATATATAAATTAATTTCAAAATAAAATGCAGAATATTTAAATATTTCATGCACTATAATCAATTTTAGCAAGTCGTTTCAACCTTGATTTAGCTGAGGAAAGGTTTCGTCGGGTGAATAATTAAATAATTTGCGCCATTTTATGTGCTGTACATTTTTTATTTGATATCTAAAATCTAAACACATTCTCTTTAAAGAATTTGCAATGGCGAAAGGACCAGAAAATGGATTCGATTCACGACGAGGACTGGTCGGATATGTGGAATGATGATATTCGATATTACATCGACGGAAGGGATAAATTAGGACGCCCGTGTAAGTAATTATTTATGATAAAATTTATAATGGGGTTACTCACGTCCACGTCAACGCCTAAATTCGCATCGCACCTGACTCAACTTCCTTTCCGATTCTGTAAAATAAATAGAAACATTCTTCTTATCTGCATCGCAACATATGGTTCCCATTTTTGCGAACTTTGCTTTTTTTGCAAACGTTGCTCGTCACAAATACTTTCTGTGCAAGCTCCGCAAGTTCTGTTGAACTTACATAGGTTGACTTGTTCATATATTTAATATTTATTTTGAATTTGCGAGCTATATGGGCGAAAGTTGTACGCCAAATAGTTTGCAATGCCTGAATTATCTACATTATTTGACCAGACGCCTTAATCGAGGTGAAACATCTCGACATACGTAAACTCATCTTGAAAGGACTGGGTGACAGATATGTGCGTTACTTGGACAAAGGCGTTGATGAGGCGTGCCAACTTGTGCACGAATTTGGCGAACGGTACGGAAATATCTCGCGTGGAAGCCTTATCATGAATTTGGACGGATTCAATATCGTCCAACATGTCTGTATCCGATGTAAAATAATAAATTATTCAACATTATGCAATTACATTTTTAAATTGAATCATTATATATTACAAATTTTTGCGTGTGAAATACAGGCATGCCATATTTGATAAGGGGACTTATCTCGTTCGTGGACCACCACCCGGAATGCTTGGATAAAACAATTTTAGTCAGTGGTATGCTCCAGACTTTTCTAAAGATTTTTCTAAAGTGCGGTAAAAAAAACGTTGGAAACGTTACTGTTTGCGTATAGTGTGATTGTCAGATGTCCATCAGACTGATCTTATTCGCAATGTTGTGAATAAAATAAAATAAAACGCAAAAGGTATTTATGACAAATTCGCAAAGTGAATTATATCATTAATAAGTTACCAATTAATGTTCTCATCGCAAATTTTTTTATGTTGTAAATCTCGAACTTTGGTGTTCACTTAATACTCTTCAATTATGTATACTTTATCAATAAAAATGTCCCACAATTATTTAGCACCTGCGATGATCGAGCAATACGTAAAACTCGCCGTGTCCCTCGTTCCTAAGGAAATCAGTGACAACTATCTCATCTACGGAACCGACAAGAATGTTTGGAAGACAGAGTTATTGAAGTATATTGACCTCGACCAGTTGCCAAGATCACTCGGGGAACGAAAATATTTAAAGGAATGGAAGACTAGGAAATATCAAAATGTGGTTAATAAAAGAGCGCGATTTTTTCGCGAAAACCTGCACAAAATTATATCGGCGGAATACATATTTATTGTGTCGATTTTCCAGAAAATTTTCTATAAATTGGTTTCATCCGTGTTTGACATACAGAGTGTTGCCAATACTTGTTCCATTGACTGTATGTACATACATATGTAAATAATTTATAACCCCTGCGAGCACAGATACATATGTATTTAGAATAATATTTTATGTATATCAGTATATATGTACATAGATATGTGCATATGTATACAAGTCTAATCTTTTAGGCATCCACGGAACAAGACCCGTTTTAGCTATAAGCTAGCTGGGAACCGCCTAGGGAGTCCACTTTTTTTTTTTTTTTGGGGGGGGGGGTACCGGGTGGCGCCCCTAAATACTGGATAAATACGCTTCGTAGAATTTATTGTAGAGCACAATATACAGATCTTTTGAATCCAAGCAACTCGATATGTAAGTCATCGATTGCCACGTTCAACGTTCTCACGATAAAGCAATAACTTGTTTTATCTTATATAAAAATTTGCACAAAGCAAGATGTACATGTTCTTATTATTCCAGATTTTTATCACGGTGCAACTTGCGAATATGGTAGGGCATATGCACATAGGTATGTAGATATTAAAAATCAGGAAAAAACAGCATGCAAGTTATCCAACTTCTACTGGTCAATCGTGAATGTACGTCCAGTTCCATACAGGAAACTGTATGTATTATTACAACTTGATATACTTTACCAGTTTATTCGCATTTCTTAATTTGCAAATCATACATACTTTTATATCAACATCTGTGTCAATACGAATAGTTTAATTTTTTTGGTGAAACAATGATTTCAAAATTTGCAATAATAGTGTCCTTTATAATATTGAAAGTGAGTAGTGCAACATTCGAGGAGGATGTTACTTTGAGTCTTAAACAAAAAATATTACTGGATGAGGTAGGTTTTTACCTTGCCAATTAAGTAACAATCTCAAAAAACAGTTTACAAAAAAATATATACATAAATCCACTAATTTTATCAATTTATTCCACAGTTTAAAGAGAGAGTAATTCCCAGTATTACAAAGGACTACATGAAAACGGAGCTTTATCTCGTGAAATGGCTCAGGTGTATGCAAATAATTAAGTTGCAAAATAAAATACAGAATATTATATATGTGCATTGCAAATATATATGCATATATATGATTCAATTTTAGCGAGTCGCTTTGATGTTAATTTGGCTGAGGAAAGGCTCCTCCGGGTAAATAATAATTTTTGGCGATTTTGGGCATAATTAATATTTAATCCTGCTTTTTCCGTTAAAGAATTTACAGTGGCGAAAGAATCAGAAAATGGATTCGATTCACTCCGAGGACTGGTCGGACATGTGGAATGACGATATTCGATATTACGTCGAGGGAAAGGACAAGTTAGGGCGCCCATGTAAGGAAATATGATAAAGTTTGTAATGGGTGGCTCCCGTCAATTATAAATTTCGTATTACAAACTAACTCATAAAATATAAAGCTTATCGCTGCTTAAACATCTTAAAAACACTGCGACTGTTTTGTAAACAATAAATCTCTGTTCTCGAGCAAGCATTTTAGGAACAAGTTTGAAGATTAATTACGATGTCACATGTTCGCATCGCAGCATAATTTTATGAAAATTGCGAACTACTTGAATACTATTCTTGGAGAAAGGCTAGTTTGCAACCGAGTTTTCAAGTCAATTTTTTGTGAACTTGCGACAGTGTTTTTTATTGTCCTAATATCGCTATTGCTGCAAACTTATCGTAAATACCCCGAATTTAAGTTACCCATGTTCAGTTTGCGAGCTACAGTCAATGGAAAAAGTATTGGCAACCCCCACGCCAGCTAAATAAAATTGGCTGTAGCCTTGGAGTGCATTATACAATTGGCGTGAAAATATGTTCGCATTTAGCAAATATAATGTAGTTTTCGATTATAATCATGTTTTATTGATTAAAATTAGATTAACACAGTTTTTAAATAATTTGTTGGAAAATTTGCAAAATTAACCCGCAAAAAGTATTGGCAACATGTGGCCAAATTACGCGGAACAATATTCTTAATCACCTACCCCATTTCATTACGGTAAGTTAATTAGGTGACAAAATATGACGATAGCTACATTTTAAGTCAGCAGTTGTGTTGTCTGAAACCAAAATGGCGACACCAAACGAGTTATATTTGGCGCGGCAAGAAATATTCATTTATTTTTCGCAAAAAAAACCTGGATATCTAAAAATCAATGGAAAACATACTTTCTCATATTTATTATTGGAAATGTAGCCAAGAAATATAAAATGGCAATTTTAGTTTCTGCTTTTCCATGGTTGTGGAAGAAAAATGTCACCTTCGCCCAAAGGCAAATGATGAATCAAGCAACAAATTACTTGAAATCGGAAGATTTCAACATCCAAAACCAATTAGAATTTGAGAACCAACTGTGGAGTCAATATTTCATACAATATGGTGATCAATCAAAAATCCTACCAAGGGGTTTTAGGGTCCAGTAGCCCCATAGAAGAGAAGGCCCCCGAAACGAACCAACTCAAGGTATTTAAATCAGCTAAATACCACCCTAAATAGACTTCCAACGGATGAAGAAGGGTCTAGTGGTCTCACATAAGTAAATTTAACTTATTCGGTGCGGGTTCGATGGTTAGAGTTTGGAGGATGCAAAATGAGGCCCTCAAATATGAATGCTGCCGTCTGGGAGTCAAGCTCGGAATAGGATCGATTATGGTTTGGGGTTGAATGACTAGGTCGTTGCGTAGTTAGCTGGTAATTATCGATGAAGTTATGACCAATGAGGTCTAAATAATCATTCCAAGCGATAATTTGAAATTATTTTGCAAAAACCTGACCTAGGAAGGAATTTAATGTTCCAAAAATGCAGTGACCCCAAACATGTAGCCAAATTAGCAATGCAAGTTTTTGGGGATCTACGAGGTTAAGCTTCTCTCGTTGGTTGCACAGTCTACCGATGTGAATCTGATTGTCTGGGTTGAGAAAGGAGAGACTGATGGAAAACCACTCGTCAAAAAACGAGCTGGACAAAATTTCAAATGAAGATTAGGCAGACATGTTAAAAAGCGTTATAAAAAGATTTTTCCAATCAATTACAATGCGTATTTCTGCTCTTATTATGTCGAGGGGAGGTGATATGTATTACTAGAAGCAGTTTGTCGCAATAAAATTTGCGTTTTATTGATTTATAATTTTTTAAGTTAAGGGTTGCCAATACTTTTTGCGGGTTAATTTTGCAAATTTTCCAACAAATTATTTAAAAACTGTGTTAATCTAATTTTAATCATTAAAACATGATTATAATCGAAAACTACATTATATTTGCTAAAGGCGTACAAATTTTCATGCCAATTGTATAATGCATTCCATGGCTACAGCCAATTTTATTTAGCTGGCGTGGGGGTTGCCAATACTTTTTCCATTGACTATATGTATGCTAAAGTTCTCGTGAGTATGTACTCCCCACTATTCACAAAATGTGTGAATTATTCATGTTTTATGAATTTTTACACAGACGCCTTAATCGAAGTGAAACATCTCGACATACGTAAGCTCATCTTGAAAGGAAAGGGTGAAAGATATCTGCGTTACGTGGACAAAGGCGTTGATGAGGCCTGCCAACTGGTGCACGAATTGGCCCAACGGTACGGAAATATCTCGCGTGGAAACCTCCTCTTGAATTTGGATGGACTCAACGTTGTCCAACATACCTGCGCCCGATGTTCGGTGACAAACATATATAATTATATATAATTATATATAATATTATATAATTAATACAGGCATGCCATACTTGATAAGGGCACTTATCTCATTCCTCGACCATCATCCGGAATGCTTGGATAAAACAATTGCAGTTAATGGTATGCTCCATAAGTGCTTCAAGATTTTCGTGATCGCTTGCACACAATGTATCGATATTCGTAATGTTATGAAGCAAGTATGTAGGTGCGAAAACTTGCTGCAGTGTTGCAGGGATGTGAAAAGAACTACAAATTTCCAAAATATTTGTTGCGATATGAATTTTAGGCTTACGAAGTAGTCCTCAATTATGTGTGTGTATTGTATTAATTAAAATGTTCTGTAATTATTCAGCACCTGCGACGATCGAGCAATACGTTAAACTGGCAGTGTCCCTCGTTCCTAAGGAAATCAGTGACCACTTTCTCATCTACGGAACAAACAGGAATGTGTGGAAGCCCGAGTTATTGAAATACTTTGACCTCGACCAGTTGCCAAGGTCACTCGGAGGGACGAAGATATTTGAGGGGATGGAGGACTAGAAAATATCACAATTTTATAAGGTGTATTTTTTTAAAAGATTGTGATTTTACGTATACATGTACATATGTATATGGTCGCAAAACATGAAGCAAACGGGAAAGCACTTGTTACATACATGTCAATTTGCAGAAAATTTGATCTAGGTGTTTATATTTTTTTCCTAGTTGTGAATGTCACAAGGTAGACTTATGTGTTTTATCCACTTAAGTATTTAATTTATAAATTGGTTTTATACACGACGTATATGTAAATAATTTAAAACCTGTGCCAATATAGATATGCATCTAATTGGAAAAATATACTATTTAATATATTCAAATGGAGCGTCCATCTCAAAGATCGTACTCGCATATTATTATACAAATGGATATATTTACATACGTGTGACCTGTAATATGCAACTGTAATTATGAACATTTATCCACTATCAAATATATAATTAATCAGAACCTCCACTCCAAAAAAGCTGAAGCATATAACTAAAGATATGACAAAAGCGATAAAATACGTTCCCAAGTGAGATATTTGTACTGGTTCAAATTTTGTATCCTCGACAAGATTTCTTTTACGGCATCCTAACTCAATTTTGGGTCCATACAAGTGTTTTATCCTCCACAGAATTCCGCGTTCTATCATTTGCAGCATCCTAAAAAGACTCCTCATAGATCACTGCGAATTTTTGCAAATTTATACGCATGACAAATTGGTAGACGACTCACTTTACATTAAAATATTGCCCGTGTGGAGCTCCCTTTTTAACCACCATGGCGACATGATTGCGTCCATTAGCAGTAAACACGGTGGATAATTTTTCACATGTTGTCCTCTCCAATTCTGGACTGTTTTCTACCTCAGATTTGAAATATGATTCCAGCGTCACAACCGCTGTAGATCGCACCGATTTTCCATCATTTTTAGTGAACCGAGCGATGAAAGCGTTCAGTTGTATGGCCACAATTTCCACGGGTACCTATGTACATAATAGGCAGTTTGCAATTTCAAATTTTTAAAATTTCCGTGACTTGTCTTCGAATTTTTCTCTATTTTTTCAAACTTTTGGAAGGCAACCTGAAAATGTTCGAAGGACAGACAAAATTTACTTCAAAATCTGCTCTGGAAAGTTTGACCCACGTCAAGAGATGGAAATATTAAAAACGTAGTTTTGCCACAGGTCACGGTTTATATTTTCAACTAGTGTAGAAGCCCGTCAATCGACGTGCAAAATAGGCCCGTCGATAAGCCCGTTACCCCAACATTAGTGAAGTTAGCCTCTCCTGTTCTCTCTGCAGAGTGGAGAGAGAAAAGGAGAGGCTAACTTCTCATCTAAGCCACCGACCCAGCCAGCCAGCCAGCAGCGATACACTCGCCTGCTTTATATAGTTTAGATATTTAAATGCCAGCTTTTAGGCTCCCATATTAAGTACTTACAAGCCATAATAATATTATGTTTAACATTCAACCATAGAAATGTACGAAATAATTTATTCTACTTACTTCAAATCCGTTACCGCCTTGTAATCCCGTTAATCTGTCGTCTTTTAAAAATTTGTAGCCATGCGCTACCAACGATTTAAATGATAGAATCTGGTCACCCCCATGGACCAGGGATATTAGCAGATTTCCAGAGATTAAAACATACACAATTAAAACGGAGAGTGACCATGATACAATAATTGTATTGAATGAAACACTCAGCAATTTTCTTTCGAATTCTGGATATTTCTGACTCTGTAGGACAAATATGGAAAATAAAAACACAACAGGAGAATGTGACTCGGAATTTATGTTTCCGCTGAAATTACTAAATATTTCGACCCGGTGAATGCATTCCATTAAAATAAGTGATGTAAAAATGAGTCCACAAATAACGAGCAGAGAGTTTGGACTGAAGATGTGTGAAAACGTCTCCTTCATTGCAAAATTTCCGGGTTGCATGAAAAACGCGATCGGCCTGTGGATAAAAATTATGATTAAATTGCTAATTAAATATTTTCTGATTATCTGAGTCTTACTGAAATACGACACGAATAGGTCTATAAAATATTTGTACCATCAAAATATAAAGGGTGTTAATAAAGTCCGATCCCATGCATTTTTTGGAGCGTGGTTGTTACAAATTCAGCTGGAACTTTTGAACCAGTGAAGTTATTTATTTCAAATTTTTACCATGGGAGGAACAACTAAACGTGTAAGTCATGAGCATCTTAGAGTTGAGATACAAACATTGCATCAGCAGGGGCTTAAACCTACAGAAATTGTGCAAAAATTGGGCTGCAGCCGCAGAACTGTTTGGAAATGGAAGAATAAAAATTTTGTCCACGACAAAAAGCGACCAGGGCGACCCAGAAAGGTGTCACCTACCACAAAAAGAATGATTAAAAACAGACTTTGCAAGAAAACCGGTAGTTCATTACGTAATTGAGCAAGGGAGTTAAATGACTCAAAACGCTATAAAGAGAAGAAGAAGCAAATTAACTGTGTGACCGTGCAAAAATTTGTGAAAACTACGAAGTGGGGTCACACAGCTTACAAACTAACCAAAAAAACCTCTCATGTCACAAAAATATATCGATGACCGTCTGAAATTTGAAGAACTCCTTCAGAAAAGTGCCCATTTGAGTGAAAAAAGACTTGGTGAAGAATTGCGCAGTCACATCCTTTGGACTGACGAATCTATTATTGAACTATATCCAAAATTGAACCAACAAAATGTTCGTTACAGGACAGAAAACAAATCGGATGTACCATCAAGAGCGATCCCAAAATTCGGGCTTAAAGTTATGGTAGCGGGTGGATTTTGTGCACGTTGCGTGACCCCTCTACATATCATACCAAAAGGCCAATCAGTCAATGCAAAGCATTATATGGAAAAAATATTACCTATCTATTTCGATAGCATGGGGAACAAGGAAATATTTCCGAATGAAAGAAAAATAGTTTTCATGCAGGATGGTGCTATAGCCCATACAGCAAAAGCGAGTTTGAGTCTCATCAAGACGCAAGTTTCAACGGTCTGGAGCAAGGGGGTGTGGGCCGCTAACGGCCCAGATTTGAATCCCCTGAAGAACCAGTGGTCCATACTTAAGGAAAATGTATACAAAGAGCCACAACCCCGGACGAGGGAAGAGCTAGTAAAAAAAAGTTCAAGATGTATGGAATTCGATTTCCAGAGGCACATTGGAAAAATTAGCACAGAGCCTTAAACAAAGAGTTGAGGGCATGGTTAAAGTAAATGGTAACAAGACCAAATACTAAGGTAAATATGTCGAACATTTTTTGTAAGTATCACGGGTAGTTTTTTTTTATACTAGCCTTCACTTTTTTACAGGAAAAATGGGATCGGACTTTATTAACACCCTGTACATAGTAGTGACCAATTATTACTTTACGGAATTGCTAACATGCTATATTGCGATGATTATATAGAATTTGTTACCTAATAGTGATAATATTTTCCAGGAAATTCAAATTTGTTAGATTATGGTATCAATTTTCTCACTTCAATTTGGATGTCAACGAAAGCATTGTTACCATTATGATTTGGCAAGGTAAGGATTTCTTAACAGTCTATTTTGAGCATAAGGACATTCTGTTTCTTATTTCAAACTGATATGATATTTGTTAGTTTATAGCAATGCTGAGAATTTTATTACAATGTACAAATGGTTGTATGGTAACAGGATTCAAATTTTACTACCGAACATTTCAAGGTGAAGTTTTGGCCTTAAATAAACTTTAGATATTCATTTAAGCACAAAATTTATATACATTGTTCATGAAAGCAGGTTGACCAAATACCTGGGTGTATTGATCGTATGCAAAAATTTAAGAGCATCCGGTCCCGTCACTCGTTCAATCAGGACGGTATTGGGACCAATTGCGACGTCAATGCTGCCCTGGTTCAGACCTTCCGCAAATCCACCCAGTCGGTGCATAGGCAAAATTCCTGTCTCATTTCCTGGAATGTATCGAATTGGTGGGGCCAACACTGCCGAAACGGTAAAATTCAGTGCATCACGTAAATAGTTCAGCATTTCGACATGCATTCCTCCCGTGAATGAGAGATTTGTGGGTGAACCGGGATCGAATTTGGCTTGAGAGTAGGCATCGTATCCCGGAACGATCCAGTCCGACGCTGTGATAACTTTTTGGTGGAAATTCATGCCAACCAAAAATTCGGCGTGTTGTTGGTAAGGCGATAAGTAGGCGCAGCTTTCCATGACTACGAGATTGGGAGAGACTGTTTCGTTTAGGCTGTAAAACAAATCAAATAAGTCACCCAAAAATAGTGGAAAATATAATTGCCAATTATTTATCTCGTGATTGATTGGAGTAACTAATTGAAGTACATTTTATCCACTACTGATGATGATTTTATCCAATGATGAGTGTTATGCCGAAATTTGTTGAAACTAAATTGATACAAAACGTCAATATTTAATGGATTGACAGTGACAATGCTTTACAATTAATGTCAGTCCACGAAACAAATTAATGCACTGGTATTTTTAAAATGACGTAACTAGATAATCACATGACTCAGGCTCTACCAAAATGATAATAATTGGTTATCGGCTGGTTGTAGATTTTCTATCGGCTAGTGGGATTAATCCTGTTAATTGATCAATTGTCAGTTGTGACCTAAGACAAATTAGTCGACAATAATTATCATTGTCAACCGAATCAAATTGAAGATCAAACCGTCCAAATTTTGTGGACGAGAGGTAAGCTATTTATTACCAGGGCTAGTGATGAAAATTGTAAATTGTTTGTCATAAACGCATACATATACATCACTATTAGAAGATACTTGTATTTAGGTATGTAACACTGCATTTAATGCTTGGCAGCATTTTAAGTGAGATGAGAATGACGGATGTAACATGCTTACGCTTTTAATTCTGTATTTCAAATTAAGAATACTGTAATATGTGCATAAGATATATTTTACTCAATTCATGTTGTTGGCATATTCATGTTTTCGCAGTGATGAGAGTGGTATTTTTGTCCAATGACGTCAACATTACTGTTACGCACAAATTCAATTTGAGCATTTTCTGTATTGAAATCAGATTAGAATGTGATCGGATTGAAATCGAATTGAACTCAAATATGTACATCTCATGGATTAAAATCAGGATTTCAGAGTACTCGAATCTATCCGGACGAGGAATTATTAAATCAGATATTTCAAAATCATGAATGCACTATCAGTAAATACATACATACATATTTATATACATGCATACATGTATTTATGCATGACCCAATATTTCGCATTTTATCCTTATGTTTATATACTTGATTATCATTACAGAA